GGTGGTGGTGGGGGTCGGATCGAGCTTCTCCTAGAGGGGGGATGGTGCAGAAATTTTGGAGTGCGAACCGACGGTTGTCCCTGCTACGGAAGAATTTTAGGCTTTGTGGCTTTATTTATGAAGATTGTGAGAATTTATTTTTATAATGTAAATTATAAATTTTTATGCTTTATAATTACACGTCCGAGTACTAGTAGAACTGTGAAGTATTACTGCTTTTACAGTTTTATCAAAATTCTACGATACATATAACAATCTCTTCGTGACTGTCCATAGATAGAGAACAGTTGGAATGTTACACCGAAATAAATGAAGTAAACTAATAAATAAATAAATGTATATTCTAAATAAATTTCGAGCTACTAAACTTAATAAAAATTTCGTTTGAAACATCTCAAAAGGGGTAGTTTTTACCGGAACTCCTCATTTTATGCCCAGCTTGAGGGCTTTTGTGAAGACCTAATGGCGCGGTTCCACTTGCAGACACGGGGAAAATCGCATTGTTGTCAACGTGTTCAGGCAATCGATCAACACTTGCTAATTGCGGTGCTGAAGCATGCGACGTTGTGTGTAAAACCTTTATCAAACTGGAATACGATATCGCGCTATATTACCATCAAAGAACGCCGGAAGTTATTTACCGCAGGTTACCACCCCCGTTCCAGGGTGAATAACGGTCGAGGAATTCCTCGACCATAGCTCTCTACCTGTGCGAGAGTAGTGCCGAGAGTGAACATCCGCGCGGAGAGCACAGACGGCTCGCGCATGGCGAGTGTGAATGTCCGCGCGGGAGACGTAACTGATCAGGCGAAAATCCTCGACGTGCCGTTGAGGAATCCTCGACCGATATTCACCCTGCGCTCTGTTACCCATTCGTCCCCCATTCGGGCAAAATAAAACCATGAGGTAATCAAACCATAAGATTATTAATTTTAGCTTGTTTGTTTGTAGGTGCTGTTTTAATGCCACAGTTCACCTTGCGAATTCCATAAGGATGATGACTTCTGAGCAAAATCTTCTCAGGTGAGATGCGAACCCGCATCTCTAGCCTACCGCGTTGATGGGTAAAGATGCTACCCCTACCAGGCACTATTTCACCCTTTTCAGCTTTTGATGGTATATTCACCATAGCATATCACTACTCACACGCCTAACGTGATGAGCCGCTCAGCCGACATCGGCAGTGAACCGCGAAGTTGCAAGCTTGAGTAAATATTAATTTTGACAGGTTTTCTTTGTTGCCTGCTAGGCGCAATGCTGTTCTGGGGGAGGCAGCCTGTAACATTGCGCCGGATTCACGGAAACGTTCAGTTTTAGGACTAAGACTTAGAGGAGAAGAGGGAATCGATGTGCGTAAGCAATTCCATTCTCTCCGGAATTCGTCCCTCTCCGTTAGGCTTAGTCCTAGTGGGTCTCCTATAGACAGCCTCCCTCCCCTCCCGAAGCACATAGCGCCGAATATTGTCTCAACACCGCAGTTTAGCACAGGGTCAACCCTGCGTTGCGCAAATTCCAAAATTTTTACGACCCCCTTCCTTTTCGGAGGGTATCGGTACGACCCCCCCCCATATTAACTATTATGTCTTTCACATAATTTAATGCTCATCATTGATGTATGGGCAGTCACCAACATGGAGAAGTGGTGGACCGTGGTCAATCCGCGCGCTTTGTCTCGCTCAGAGGAGGGAATCGAGGCAACATGAAGTTTTATTCATTAAATAGAAGGAATTTCCAAATTTTTGCGTAAACCAATACATGATTTTAATCGTAAAGATTTCTACTTTCAGAAACCCACCAAGTTTTTTTTCGATCTCTCAATTTTCCCTTATTTTATAAACCCGGGAAAGTAAACCTTGTAGCAATTAACATTGCAATCCAAACCCCTCCATTCAGAAAGTTATATTTTTCTTCAGAAGCGATTTCATGGAACCGGACACACCAAATCTTGACAAATTCAATAGTTCTCCTCATCTAAAAGAAGACATTGAGAGGAGTGTTCTACCTGTATGTTCCTCTCCTTCAGAAAAACCCGTCCCGTTGTTCCCCGTTTTTCTGTGCACTACGGCGTTGTTTAGCTTTTCAGACATCAATATGCATTCATAACTTTCTTCATACCCAACTTTTTGCAGATGTTCTAAGGCTAATTAGAAACTAGAAGATTAGCGCTTTCATAAAAACCTGACTTTTTTCCAACGATCACTCTCTCAAAAAATAGTCCCGTTGTTCCGTTTTTGGGGGGTTTGTGGTCCGATTTTTTGAAGGGCCGCCGAGTTTTTCGACCATTCACCCACGTTTCTAAGTTCTCTTGCATAAATCCAACTTTTTGCAGAATTTTCTAGGCTAATTTAGGAACTAACGAAGGATTAGAGCTTCCCCGCATAATTATTGCGGAAAGCCTTTTTTTAAATAAATTCGAACTCGCTTCCAGCAAAAAATAGTCCCCCGCTTGTTCCGTTTTTCACCTTGATCTTTTTCAACGGTCTATTTTCCTGGGACGCGCAAACTAATTCAAAGGCCCATAAAGTCTTGCCAATACATACGTGATGAACGGAGCGTAAAGACTGTTAAGTCTACCTGCTCGACGGAGTCGATAAATGTATTGTAGAATTTCTTGAAATTCTTTCCTTCTCGCTCGAATTTTCCTAAAGGGTCTCTAGTAATTCACATCTTCAGCAAAGTTTCCAACCTACACTTCTGTTCCCGCCTCGCAATTAATGACTTTGGAACCATCAAAATTTTAATTTTGCGGATAAGTCTTGGGACTGTTCACGGCCGCTGACAGAGAAGGCGTTTTTGTGGGAAAACGCCTGCTCGGGTATACGCCGTGCACCTGTCTGTGGACAGAAGTCGCACTCGCATTTGAAAGTCCTCCATTTTCCTGAAGAAGGTGTTAGTATCGTGACTGAGTTGCAATGTACTGTCATATGGTATAACTTGTTTTAGCTATTGTAATCTTTGATCTGATAGTTGTCGAGCGAAAGCGCCGTTCGTGTATTAAGGATAATAATGGCTGATAGCGAGACTTATAACGCTCTGCATGCTCTAATGCGTCCACGGAGCTCTTCTCTGGGCGACTCTCCGACAGCTGCAAACCGGTGCAGCGGCTTCCTGGAGAACATAGCGTGAATGTGCACTGCCAGGAACACTGCACTTTTCAAGCCCTCTTGCAGCCCGTCTCTCTGGATACGACCCCTCCCTTTTTCGTTCGGCCGAATACGACCCCCTCGTTGTTCTTTGCGCAACGGGCGGTTGACCCTGGTTAACATTGTACCAGTACAGGCAACATAGTGCCTCACTTTTATATTAGGGCTTTCCTCAATAAATTTTTTTGCATCTAAGGCAGGTCCCCAGCCCAAAAAACTTGCAGAATACTTTTTGAAACATTCTATAAACATAGCCGTTATAATTTACTAACTGGTAGGTTACAAACCAGGGTCTAAGACAGCCGTTCTCTCAGTTCGAAAGGGGGTTCAAGTGTGTAGCCATCCTAGGTTGCATAATAATCATAAGATTAAGTGCTGACCCCCCGTGTGTAAGAGCGCCTCATTTGGGCGCATAAATAAACAAGTAAATGAATAAGATGTGACGATAGACAATGGCTGAGTTCTGGGTAATTCGCATGACCTCCTGCCTGTCGCACACCCATTGAAAGGCTGCCTACTCCTTTCCCTTACCCGCATGCCCGGTAAGCAAATGAGAGGCCTAGCCTTAGACGATGTTGTTGATTACAAGGGTCATTCAGGTCAGTCGTTCTCCGGCCAGTAAGATGTACAGAAATTAAGTGATTACCTCTTGGTAGCAGAACCGCCGTGAAATAATCATATGTAACTAATCTGAGCCGACAAGTCGACTGTCAATGAAGGTGGTACCGACCAAATTTAAGTGGCCTGGCAAGCCCCCAAATTTTTTTTCCAACATCCCCCCTCCACAGCACATCACCTTAGAGCGAGGGCATCAATTCGCCTCCATACTCCATTCCTTTGTTCGATGTTCAAAATAAAAGATTTCTGTCGAGTTATGCCCTAACGGAAATCCTCCCGAAGAATTCAATGGGGTTTTTTTCCGTCTCTCACAGCTGAATGTGTCACTGTGTGATTTGAGCTAAGTTAGAAAGATAACACGATAGCCCGACAAGTTTCAAGCCCGTACGGGCCGCCCGTTGACGATTCGCTTCCCAAGAAATTGGACCTAATTCACACGTAAACCAGACCTGTAATGCAACAGTCGAAAGTACTGCCTGGGGTTACACCGCAAGATTCTTTCTCGGTTCTCCTCCGGCGTGCAGCCCATGGTTTGAAACCTTTTGGCCTTTGGAGGACCATGAACGAAAAGGTCGAAAGGTCACCCAATTCAATGTATCTAAATGTAAACCCTCGTTTGGCGCAGAAGAAATAAAACCAAAAGTCGAACATAATAAATCCGCGCGTCTCAAATAACTTTTCGCGCTATTCTAATGAAATACCCGCTGGTATATGATACGCAATTCGATAAAAGCGTAGTTTGTTTTGGTTATTTAGCCTGTTTGTTTTTGGTGGTTTAAACCCGGCCTGAACACTTGTGCGACAGTTAAAGAGCGCGTGATTTGAGAACATAAGTCCGCCAATAAATAAAGGCCGATGTCAGACTTTGCGAATCGCGCGATTCGCTAGCGTCTGCGGTCGCGTCGCGGCCAGAATCACTCAATTGGCTGGTACCGCAACGCGACCGCGGACGCTAGCGAATCGCGCGATTCGCAAAGTCTGACATCGGCCAACGTGGGCTATCTGAAAACTTCGTAAACTTCCATTTCCCATTTTTATTTCCAATTATGTTACAGCTTGACATTTCTGATTCAGAATGCAGTACAGCAGTATATGATACATGAGGATAAGCGACATTAAATGACAATAGCAAATGTGAATACAAAAACAACGAGAAACTGCCACATGAGAGGTGTACGGTAGAAGCTGGGAATGTCTCGATCAGCTCTGTTAGGCAGAACGTGCACCACTGCGATTGGGCTAGTATGCAAGAATGATGTAACACGCGTAGATGATGCCAGGGATATATCCGAGGATGGTCAGCAGAATACAAATCGCCAAATGATAGTCGCAACCCTTCTCGAAGAACACGCCAACCGGCTGAAAACAACTCAATATTACTGCGACATCGATTTTCACTGTGAAAAAGCCTTTGTATATTTGAATAAATTCTGGTGTTTCACAAGAATGCTAGGTTGTGAACAGAACTTTGACCCAAAGGTGGGACTCGAACCGGCACTACTCGCTTTGGCCGATGTCAGACTTTGCGAATCGCGCGATTCGCTAGCGTCTGCGGTCGCGTCGCGGCCAGTGAATCACTCAATTGGCTGGTACCGCAACGCGACCGCGGACGCTAGCGAATCGCGCGATTCGCAAAGTCTGACATCGGCTTTACCGGGTAATTGTGCTACAAATTACGCTACCACCGCACCATTTCAACCGTACATTCTTGTGAAACATTCGCAACGCGAACTGCGGCGTTAAAACAGCAATTAACAAACAAACAAGTCAAAATTCATAACTTTTGATGTTTAAATTATGCAGGGTGTTCATATGAAGGGAGTGTAACGGAACGAATAAGTTTTCGTGAAAATTTCATTATTTCTTGTTCCTTTCCTCATAAAATTTCAACGTCAATGTTGATTTTTGTATTTTTCAAAATACGAGATTATTGGATGATGCTTTATGAACAGCGGTACATTCTACGATGATAGGTGACCAGAAATGATTCGTATGGGCGTGGTTTGCGTCCCTTCTCAAAGGGTCTCATTGGTTAGCTCCATCTCTACACTTGATACACCAATGACAACTGGCACCGAATGGCGTCCTTACGCCGCTATTGTAGACGGTTAGGCCTTCGAGGAAGACGATCCGATGGGGAAGTTTTGCCCATCACCTTACAGCCTCATTGGTTAACGAAGAGTACCCAATTTGAAGTCGATTTTTAAAGGCAATCACAATCAATGCTGCCCTTGCGACTGACTCAACCCTTCATTCTAGATTTGGAAAGACCGAAACGAACCGTTTTATTTATTACGCTTATGAAGATTCTATCTTTTACTTAAAAGATTGGAATGTCAAACGCGTTGTCCGCGTCGCTGACCGCAACGCGGGTCAGCAAAATTTTGTGTCACTAGTGGCCGCGCAATGAACCTTTGACACCGTCATCGTCATGTGTAAGGCTGTAGACGTCTACGTGTCTCATGGCAATCTAGTGACTCCCTCCAAAAATATCGAATGTAATTATTGGGTCGACAAACTTAATTACTGACCGGGCCCGCACAATCTCATCAGCGCATGCTATTCAGCCTTTTCCCCAATTAAGTGTGTTCTCTGGCCTTAGCACAGGAAACACATACAAGTCCTCTTCT